ACTAAGTATGTTTAGTAAATTGAAAACATCATTCACCTCTTAAAATGTCAGTATTAATAAAATTGCTGATCAATCTATTCCAACGTCGAATAGATAGATCGAATATTAATAAAAAGAAAAAATATAAAACAATAATCGCAGCAATACCGCTTTACGACAGAAAAGCTATCGGAGCGTAAAGCTGCCCATAGGTCGTAACTTGCCTGTCATTGTTTACATGGAGACGTAATCCCGAGTGACGTCACCAAGTCGTCGGAATATCTTTGCAAGCTTACACTATACAACCATGTGCGTTTAACAACAGAATGCTCAAATAATGTTTTAATTTCAAATTATAGATATATATAGAAATATAGATAGAGAACTATCTATTTATATACTAATTTCTCAAAGGTGCTTTATTTGGTATGGTATATTTCATAATTCTTCATAATTTTTTTTTCGCTTATACATCATATTTTTTTGAAGTACGTATATACAATCTTTATTGATCTAATATTTACAAGATTAAATCTATCTAAAATTACATATTATCTAATAAACCTAATCCACGCGGCATGGTACCAAGAACGCTAGCTGCATTTCCTCGCTGAATAGTTATGCTTAACCTTTGAGCCAGAAAAGAACCAGCTCTCTTGTCACCAGCTGCGGCGTTAAGCCTAGGACATAAACTTTAAAAAAAATTTGATGTGTGGGGACCCCACGGACCTAAAGTCTCAACAGCAAATGGCACAAATACACAATCTAAACATAAAGACTCATATTTGCGCCATTTACTTACTTCAGCTGCCTCCGATGCCGCCCCGGCCCTGACCGAAGTACCCCTTAGATGAGAGGCAGCCAAAGTGTCATAAAATTGAATGATTTTAAAGTTCATGTTTGCCGCTATTGACGAATATTAAATAAAAAATAGAATGAAATTAATGTTTTTGAAAAAAAAAATTTTTTTTTCGCTTAAAAACCTATTATATGGAATGTCACAATGTAGATGACTGACAATGTGTTGAAATGAAACATTGAGAGGTAGATGGAATAACGTTATTTTTCAAGCGTGAGATACCTTTCATTAATTTTTACATTATTAAATAACCTATACTGCTCACAGTACTCAGCGAGAATTTCGCACAAGTCAACTGCACATTTATTAAGAAGGTGGGGCACGGAACTAGAAGACGCTGGTTCGAATCCCGCAGCGCAAAGGTTTCGTTTATTTATCTACAAAAAAATTACAATTTAAAATACTGCATATTTATTCAAAATCCAAAGTAATCCATGCGACGGCGGTATTATTCGTCACGTGCGTGTAGGAATTGAAAATTTACTTCTTCTATCTGTACCCCTATATCATCAGGTTGAGTTCGATAAAGCATGCGAAGCGTGTTGTCAATGGTATTGGCTTGGTTTTTTACAAACAGCCTGACGCTAACCATCCTTGGGACACTCAGTTCCGTACCAATTATTACCTGTGGGTCACGATAATAATTGTTCCGATATATGATATAACGATAATAATAATTGTTCAATAATTGTTGAAATCCCGCGTGGAAAATGAACTCCGTGCTCCAAAGCCATACAACTGCGCCGAGTTATCGACTGAGAATCAAATATTTTGTCTAAAATTTCATTAAAATTTCTTCAGAGGTACTACTTCAGTATCCGAGGCTCTTTTGAAAATTGTTTGGGGGAAACATTTTTTTTACCTAATACTCTTTTATAACTGTGTTATAAATTACTAGAGGATTCCCTCAAATTACAACAAGAAGCCGTTAATTTCTATTTACGCGATTACACATTACTAAAGAACCCTTTTCAGCGTCCATGGTCACGAAAATGAAAAGGGTTTGTCGTCGTTACGTACGTACGTCTGGAACTAAAATAAAAAAAAAATAAACACGATAAATCCGTAAATACAGTTCCATTTTGACACGAACCTGCTGTTAAAGGTTGTTTATTTTTGTAAACGTTTATTTATTTTCCGTGTTTGTGTGTTAGTGTGCGTGTGTGTGTTTTTTTTCATTCCATTTGACCGAACAATTTCACAAAGGCGCGTCGAACATTTAATAGATCTCGCCGCCCGTGCAGCGACACTAAAAGCTTTAACCAATCAGCCGTCAAATATATTCGGCGCTATCAGATGCCGTCCGCCACTATCTGATGCGCTGGCAATCCATTTAAATGCGGATTTCCAGCTTTAGAGCCGTTGCAATGTATTTGACGCTACATCCGCCATGTTGTCATCTAGCTAATTATATAATAGATTTGTATCCAAGCTTTTTTTAAATTAAAAACTGGCCTGTACTTGACTGCCATCCCACCTGATGGTAAGTGGCACACTTACACTCCTTAATTCATATGATAATGTATTACCGTTTTTATTAAATTTTGAAAAGAAAAAAATTTAATGTAATGGAAAAGCTGTTTTATTCATAGATTTCTTGTGTTGGCGACAAACAAACGCACATACTCTTTTGGCAGATGTAGAGATTATTTGGGACGCGTTAATATAATAGACTTGTATTCACGTCAATTCCACTGTCTATAATAATGTGGTAAACATTTAATTTTCAAAAGAACAAATTATAATGTTTTACTAACAAATATTTTTTTCAGTTGGCGTCACATAAACGTACATTCAGATCTAGAAATTATCCGCTACGTTACATTTATCTCTCGATCTTTAAACGGACTACAATTTGGGACTTTAATTGATCCACCGCTGCAGCCTCTCCCGAAAATTCTTTATGTTTCTTAGAATTCAAAGCGTAAAACGGGACCCTATTATTAAGACTCCGATGTCTGTCTGTCTGTCTGTGTTAGACAGTTGAAATTTTCACGGGTGATGTATTTCTAAAAAAAAAAAAAATATTTAATTCGGGCTCCCGTTCAAATGATTCTTTTGCAGTTTTTACAGAATGGTACGGAGCCCTCCGTGCGCGAGTTCAACTCGCACTTGGCCGGTTTTTCAATTCCACCGCCCTTGTGGTCGCGAACCCATTTAATTAATACGCAATTCGGCGCAATCGTCGCTGACCAAGGAGTCCCTTTCGAATTAGCCAACCCCTTTTTCCCCACAAGTGAGATGTAAGAGGTGCCCCATTTTCTGCCTCCGCACATCTGACCCACTCACGCCGCGTACCTTCGTCAAATAGTAATTTTTTCGAGCGTCTATCTGACAAGAAGCTCTTACCCGGCATCTTAGTAATATTCCCTACCGACGTCTGTTCTCCTAGTATATCGACCCTCTTTCTTTATTCATGAGGTCCGATCTTTTAGGTTATTCGAAAATTATGCGGCTTCACTCATACCAGGGTTTTATTACGCCTCATAAATATCGCGATGCTTATGTAAAAGTTTTGGATTAATTTGTCTGTTCGTTGTTGTACGTTAGTGTATTGTTTTGTAGCAGGCCCGTTTAACATTGCCCGATGTTTGTTTATGTCTCTGAAGTGGTTGTTTTGAGTTTTCTTTCACGTTCAATTTATGATACATGTCACTTAGTATTGATGGTAAAACATTAAAAGTAAAGTAACGGCCTATATACATTCCACTGCTGACTGCAAATTGGCGGAACTCACATAACTTATATAAATAAATATATTTGTTATTTGGTATTATTTCGTAAATATGCAGGTTTCCTCACAATGTTTTCTTTCAGCGCTGAACACTGATAAGTCAGCACTTGCACTGGTGCCGGCACGGGGGATCTAACTCAGGTTGCTCGAGTATATTGTATTAAAACCGAGCGCCCGGACAATGAGCTACAATATATCACTATACAATCAGATAGTTTAAATGTTTTTTATAACCCCGCTGAAGATAAAAAAAGCTCAAATATTTGAAAATCAAAAATAAAGATTAACATCGTAGGCAATAAGAATAATATTATATATTTTGAGATACGGGCCAAGCATCTAAGAAATAAAACTAAGAATAATCAATTGGGCTGTATCCAATATATTATTTATATAGAAGATAACTTTTCTGAGTATATAAGGTATATACATCGATTGTTTCTAGTCTGTGGGGCCGCAATTGCGTTTTCCTTAATTAAATTGGTTGAAGCAACTTACTAGTAGTCTTCGGTGCTCCCTCCAGATTCGTCTCCCGTAAGGGAGAAACATCACCTACACGATCAAGTTTTACTTGGGTTGTAAAAAAATTATACACCGATGATGTTCTAGGAACAGATCACCATCGGTGTATAATTGTTTGCGATAATAAGACTGCATTACGGTTCGAGGAGCGATGCCGGCGTAACTTTATAAATGTGAAAAGTTAGAAGAAAGGTAACGAAAGTTAAAAGAAACGAGAGAAAAGTTAAAGAGCCAAGGTACACCCTCGGGCGAGGTTCGACGTCTCACCATAATTTCGTTTTACGGCCGACCCTCAAAAAGGTAAAACCGAAACAGAATTGGCGAACGGAGGTTATTCTAAAACTTTACTCAATTTTATTTATGTTTATTAAGAACTCATTTATTATATAGCAACTGTGGTGGGGCCAATAGTCTTCCCTGTTGCCCGAAAGGACAGGTCCAGGGAAGTACCACCACCTCGTTAAGCGGAAGTGTTTCACTTCTTCGTTCCGTCTGGTGAGTGAGGTAACGGGAGCCTAAACTAGAGGATGGTAAATGCCTTTGCAACCCTTAGAGCGTTGTAAATGTCCATGAGCGGCGGCATTCATTTCATATCATTTAACATCAGGTACACCGCCAGTATCCTTGCCACCTCCTTACACAAAATAAAATAATTTAACATTCGTACATTACTTAGTTCTCTCGCGTCGTTTTTAACCCACAGGGGAGACAGATAGTCTTGTTGTTATTGCACGGTCACAAATATAAAACAGTGCATTTTTACCTGTGACTTCTATTAATATATGAACCTGTAACCCTTAATGTGAGACAGGCACGAAGTTTGCGATCCCAGCCGCCAATAACTTAAAAAGTGTCGATTATTTTACCATTTGGATAGAACTTTGAGTTGTAAATAAGGAACGAATAATGTGCAAAGTTTCAGGTTAGAAAAAGGTGTTCTTAACAAGTTGTAATATAAACCTAAAAAAAAAATTACGACCGCCGGCGTTTTTGGGCAACTTTCTGTAGTCCCTTGCGGGTAAGTTTCGCTACATTAACATATAGATGCGGTGTCGACGACAATATATGCCGAAGGAACGGGGCACCTGACTGTCTCTATATTTGGACACCCCTCTTACAACGCAGTCGTCGGTTTTTTATTTTATTTGGTCCATAGAACAGCAAACAGTACAATGATCTTAACAATAAACTTAATAATGGCAACTTATACTTACTGGCCGCCAAAAATATATGTATACTACATGCTTCGATATCATTGAGCAATCTTAACTTATAAATTTAAAAACGTTTACAAAGCTATTGAAAAACTATTAAGTTAAACTAAAAAGTAGCTAATTAAAAAGTTAAAATGATAAGAAAAATTAAAACATAGCTTCTGACGGAATGTATCTACTGATTCAACAATGGTTGTAAGTTTATTGTACAAGGAACACGTTCTAGACATTCTAGACTCATTCTTGACACATTCTATAGCGTTATTATGATGGTTCATTCAGCGTAACTGTGAGTTGCGTGTTGCGCTCTTTTGTTGGACAAATTTATATAACATTTATAATTAACTGTAATAGATTAATGTTTGACGGATGTGATAGCTAAGTTCGGGGCGATCGTTTTTCTTCAAAATACTCAAATGACAAAAGTTCAAATCTCAGTGCCGGCACCAATGAGATTATAATTGCTGATTTATCATGGTTAATGCATTTTATAGGTTTAATAACTTATTTATACAATTAATTATTTAGGTACCACGGTTATAAGTAATGAATAAGGTCCGAAAATTGAATTACCATCTATCGTAAAAGAAAATTAGACATGTACGGGCCCTTCAGAGCGCGAATTCTACTAGCGATTTATTATTTACATTTATTTTAGTCATCAATTCGGCGTCTGAATTTTTTACATTGGATGCGTGTTCACTAGAAACGCTATAGAGGCGGCGTCTCTCATCGCGGTCGACTTTTTCACAGTAGACAACGTTAACTCAACAACTGAGCTGTGAGAGATCGCGAATTAGAAAAAGCTACCTCGCTTGAATGCTCAAATTTCCCCCGGGTATAGGCGTTTAGTCGTTGCTATTGAAAAATTGATGAGAAATTGTGCATTACGTAGTACTAGTTCTACAATTCCCGGTTACTTATTTTATTTATTTCATTAGGCACAACAATAGCATAATATGTAGTATTGATAATATCTTCTCAATTATTGGGTCAACATAATATGATATGGTATAATTGATAATGTGTTCTTAGTTATTGGGTCAACATAATATATTATAAAAATTGATATGTTCTTTTATATATACCTATTACAGGTAAACACAAAATTGGTAAAAATAATTAAATACAGGAAGTGCACGCTAATGCTAAAGGTAAATTTTATCAGTAAATTAAATTAAATGAGACAATACAAAGATTATGTCTACAGATTAGAATTTTTAGTTCTAAACTTAACTTATATACGTTCTAAGCTTAACATATAAAATGCATGCCTAAAACTCAATTTTACGTTTAAAGTATTATTTTGAAACATGATTAATTTCATTATGTTTTGTAGACAGTGCTTATGAATATAGATTACGTCATTAATAAGACTAATATCTTTTAATAACAAACAAATATTCTTCAATTACTTAATTATCAAGTCATTGTCTGACTCATCTTCAAACTATTATTTATTGTTAATAACACATAATTGCGTATTAATCAAAACCATTATATAGAGAATGGCTTGTTTGTTCTTGATTATAATTAATAGTATCGCATAACTTTCCTAATTATTAGGTTAATACGTTTTCGCTTCTAATGCCTTCCATTTAATAATATCACATTATTTTCAATTTCCAAAGAGAGAATAGCCATCCAATCGGAAATGCTTACACGTTTTGTGTATTAGTTTTTTATGTGAGAAGTTGTCAAGCGAGCAGGCGGTTCACGTGATGTTCAATGATTACCGCCGACATCTACAACAGCCGATGTCTTGCTGATGCGTTGACTACCTTTAATAAAATATCCGGCCAAGTGCGAGTCGGACTCGCGCACAAAGAGTTCCGTACCTATAGAACGGCAAAAAAGCAACATGTCCGTTGTATGGGAGCCACACTTAAATATTTTTATTATGGTTTTTAGTACTTGTTGTTATAGCGGCAACAGAAATATATCATATGTGCAAATTTCAATTGTCTACCTATTACGGTTCATGAGATACAGCCTGGTGATAGACGGACAGACAGAAAGACAGACGGCAGAGTCTTAGTAATAGAGTCCCGTTTTACCCTTTGGGTATGGAAACTTAAAAATGTGAGCCCCGATTGTCTCACTCCTCAAAGGAAACGCGAAATTTTAATACTTCACGCCGCTCTCCTGTGGGCTGTGGTACGAGTGTCCGGTTTGACCCGGACAAGCCTGCTCATTCAAGCAACACCAGAAGCTATTCAAAGTCAATGTCAAAGTCAATATTTTTATTCAATAAAGAAGCATTAGACTTACTTGTTGATTTTCAAAAAACTCCACTACCGGTTCGGAAAGAAAGCCTGACCTGACCTGAAAAAAACTGACGAAAGAAACTCAGCGGGACATTTTCTTTTTTATTTAATTTTTTCATCTTAACTTGACAAAATAAAAACGTGCAAAATTTATTAAATTCCACTTGAAAGAGTTTAGAGCGATCAATTCATTTCCAGAGTGTGTTATAATTCAAATAATCACTAATACTGTAATAGACGTTAACGTATCCTTACTATACATGCATAACGTAGTATTACGTTGCCTCACTTCGCTATTAACTAATTATATAATACACACTCACTAAACTACAAACAAGACACTCCTCATTATCAACGTACTAAAGCGAACGATTTTTCAAAAGAAATAGAAAAGGATATTCGGTTGGTGGTAAAAATCTTTCCTCGATAAGACGGAGAACATTTCCTCAAGTCATTTCCTGGTGGTATTAATTACGGTGTCACTGCGTACTCGGTATTGCGAAAGGCGAAGACCGAACTCTGGCAGAGTACCAGCGTTCTGGACGGCCCCACACTATTCGGGTCGCGGCCGATAGCGCAGCACTGCAGTAATCACGGACTGTGAGTTGACCCAATTTCTGGTTTCTTTGCAACACGCGGTTGTATCTTTGATTTACGTCGGGCGGCGCTCATGCAATCACATAGTTTATCTTGCGACTAAAATCAACTGTTTCGCTGCCTTTTGTATGTTTCAAGCACGGGTAGACGGGTTGTTTTACAAATTTATTTTATTCTGGGCTTTAACATCAAAGAAAAATCTGTTGAAGTAGACTGAAATACTGCTATCTATTTAAGACGAGCTTAGTAGGTTAGTGTGTGTCTCTGAAAGGGGTTGGATAGTAAATCCCAACCGCCACTGGGTCTTAGATCAATTGTCGTCTTCTCTTCGAAAACCAACAGGTTAAAGCGTTCGATATTCTTAATCCGTGTTTGTGAATCTTGCTACAGATTCAAACCGGTCTTTCGTTCGGGAAACCGCTGAGCCGACCGGCTCGCAACAGGAACGGTGGTTTAAGAAAATGAGGGGAATCCCCGCCAGTCCCGAGTGGGGGGATTAATGCAGGATAGTTTTCGAGTTGAGAAAATTGCGGACGGGGGCCGAGGGATTCCCCGGGGATCCGTGCGGCGGAAAGGGGGGATTGGCGGGATTTATAATGGCGGAGATGCGGAGGAGCTTTGTACTTTTGCTATTACACGCCGGCTGGTGCCAGAAAATGTCTGTCGTGTTTTTAAACAACACGATGGAGGCTTCGGGAAAATTACTTTCAATATTTTTTACTTTGCAAACGGAACAAACGTAATTGCAAACAGAAAGTTAAAAGCAAATTAATGAATTATTACCGAGTGTTAGAATTGATAAAGAGCGAGTAGGAAGCAATCAATACCTGAATTAAGTTTGTAGTAGTATTGCCTAGCTTTTTTAAGACCGGCTGCATTTCTGAACTCACATTCTAAGGGAGAAAACACTGAGATATGCAACAACTATGAACGGGTCACAGATATACTCATACCGTGTGGGAATCGAACTCACGACCCACGTTGAAAACAAAAGGTCGCCTGCGCCACCGACTCATCGAGTGGTGCGTGCGCTCAAAGAAACTTATTCATTTGAATTCTAAGAACTTTCTATTTGTGCCCTTAGACTGCGACCAACCAAGCATTGAATACTATTGTGTGTTTTTCACTTGGTGATATATTGGACAAGTTGCGCAGGGGGTTGGTGCTTATTGAATTATTCGTTTATGCGAGTCCGTTGTAGGCAGTTTTAAGAAATGGCCGTCACAGAGACGGGGGACCTCTGCGCTGGCGGAGTTACAAGTGCGCCTTTGCCAATTTATTGCCGCTTGAAACTTTCAGTTGTCAATAGTCGCTTTCCCTCACGTATATGTTAAGGTTACAATATACTATATGTGCCATGGTTCATCATTTTGTAATGATAACATTGAACTTGATGGTACCATGAACTTGAAATGGAATTATGACTAGTAAAATGTATTGATTCACGATTGAAACGAAACTACAATTCACCTTTCAAATTACGGAATACATCATACAAATTAACTTAAGCTAATTAAATAGCTTAAGTTAATTTTTTTGTGCGAATAAAAAAAAATGGCCGGCTGAGTTTCTATCCCGTGAGTGGCTTTCTTTCCCTTGCGATGCTCCTATGTTGAACAAAGATGATTGAATTTGAATCTGTTGTAATTTAAATAACGCCTTAATTATTAAATAATACGGTTTGTTAAGCGTCTGCCAGGGCCGGCCCCGATTCGCAAAGGGGACACCGATTTCGAAACGATTGCGCAATTTTCGACGGCCCGTAGTCGGCCACCGCCCCCGGCGCTAGCCGAGAGATCGCGCGCTGGCTCGGGCCCGTTGAAGTCGACCAACGAGGCGGCTAATGGCCGCCGAGCTGAAGGGATTTTCGAGTTGCAAGACCTCATTATCCCGTCGCAGCTGTTCGATTTTCCGTTCCGTCGGGTGATTAATTGTGAACGCGATGCGGTACGGCGGCCGTGGAACGCCTCGTTGAGACCGAAGAACGTTCGCGTGCTTTAATGCAGACACTGCTCCCCTTGCGGTGGGGGGTGGGGGGGGGATTTTCATACGATCGCGTACGGTGGAGGATAACAGAAGCAATCTCTCAGCTCGAGCTCCGCTAGCAACGACCCGGCCGCGTGATACGTTAAAGTTACAACGTTGATAAAAATAAAAATACGATAGTCTCACTTTGGTAATATGTCTGTCCGTTTTCCCACTTTTACTCGAAACGAAACAGGAAAAGAGACGTAGCAGTTTTTTTTTTTTCAATTTTCGTGAACACTAAAAATTCAACTGAAATTAATTATAAAAAACCTTATAAATCGTTATATTTACGAAAAACTTTATGCTCATAAAGATCTATTTAGCCATATTCAAATGGTGGCTTAAAGCCCCCAAAAGAAGTGCGGTGAGCCGTTTTCACCTAAATACAATAAATCATTTGTGTACGTCTCCACTAAGCTAAAACAAACACAGCATTAAAATGAAGTTACTAAAATGCCAATAATTAAAAATACATCTTTCCACCTGAATTGTTAATAAAGCAAAGGTACGTTATTACTTTTCATCGCAAGGACCTCTGAAGTGTCCATTAAAAGTATAAATTTTTGCCGGAGCCTGAAATATTACATTGATATGAAAATTTCAGTGATTTTGCCATATTACTTTCTCGTCTTCAACTCTCAATCTGGGACCTCTTGAGGTAAACGCCCGCCATTATTAATAAAGTGGTCTGGTCTCCAAGATCGACTTTAATATCAACCCGGAGTCCAACTTTATTAACATCAGCGCTACCTTTGGGTGGGTAGTAAGCAATATCGAAATTTTAAAATTGAATCACTCTCGCGAACTTAAGGAAGGAATTTATTAGTTTAAGTTATTACTTTCACTTAACTATTGCTAAGTAAATCTGATTTATGGATTTTACGTGCGTACATTTTTCAATTGAAACTTTTTTTAAGATTAAATGTCTATGATCGGGGGGGGGGGGGGGGGGGGGGGGATCACGAAATAATATCTTAACTAATTTTTATGTTGCTTTAGTAAAGTAAAGTAACAGCCTATACATGTCCCATTGCTGGGCAAAGGCCCTCTATACCGAGGGTATCAGGGCATAGTCCACCACGCGGCCCCACTGCGGATTGGCGGACTTCACATATCTTTGAAATATATTTTTTTTGTTATTATTTCAAAAATATGCTGGTTTCCTTACAATGTTTTCCTTCACTGCTCGAGTATATTGAATTAAAGGCGAGCGCCCGGTTATTGTCATTGTCAGTGTCACGTAGCTCAGTGTTGCTTTAATGCTATATTGCTAAATTGAGATTTTTGTTGGTGTGAAGACATTACGTTCATAGTTGAAGAAAACGATGTTCGTGTAAGCAATGTTTATCGTTTAGCTCAGTGGCTTGAGCGTCGGGCGCGTATGACTTAGCTTCCAACTCTCGCAACGGAGAAAAAATTTACGACTTTTTTTCTTAATTATCTTTAAAAATTCATCTAAGTGAAAAGAACAGTACTATAAAAATTTTTATCGTTTTAAATTTCGAAAGCAAATATTTCTCTTTAGTTTAATATTTCATTGCTGTAAATAAAACGAAAGCGTTGCTTAAAATACAATAATATAATCAAGGTGGTATGTCGTTTAGCGACGACGTTCGAATCCTCGCAACGCGGTGAAAAACTTTTTGTCCATTTAAAAAAAAAAAAATCCATAAAAAATATTCATTTAACAATTCAATCGTGAACGCAATTTTGTAATGTTTTTAATGCATATAATGGTGCCACGCTGCCGCGAGCTGCTGCTCGTCTTGTTGCAAAAATGGGCAGATTCGTGCAGGAAAGTATCACAGAAAATCATTCTTAACGGGGTGATTGGGGCCCGTTTATTTATGGTTCGCATCGTAACAGAAAGAGCATTAAATTATGGTAAATGTACATGGGTGGGGCTACCAGCTTAACATCAGGTGATCCGCCTGCTTGCTTGTCCCTTGCCACAAAAAATACCTTAGTCATTGATGTTTGATACATATTTGTTTGCCATATTACATAATACAGTACTGAAGGCATCGGCTTAATGTGCTTGATGACCTTTAAAGCATTTGGCTTCAATGGGGGTGTAAGTGTCAATATCTTTTTGCGACGTTTATTAAAAAAATCATAACTAAGACACACAAAAGAAGCCGTGCTTGTATAAAATAACTGTCTGAATTTTCAATTATTGTCCTCGTACGACTAACGTCTGCAGAGAATATGTTAAAGTTAACGGTAAATAAATAAATAAACAAGAGAGCAATATGTTACTTCGGTCTCACTTAAATATTCTCTTATTGAGATATACGCGAGTTTAACGTTTGATTTTACACACGTTTCTCTCCCACTCCTTTACGTGTACCTATTACTCATTGGTATATACGTAACGCGTTACTTGAACGGTAATTGGAAAGGCACAGATGAAAGGCACTTTGAACGCAGGCCCCGTAAGCGTATTGGAGACGGAACGGCTGTGTTTCGATTCGTTACTATGTTGCATCAATCGGCTGAGACAACTCTCTAGCTGCCGGGACGCCGATGCCATAGATTAAACAGGCGCAGAGCCCCGGAAATAACTGTCTATATAATCGGCCGCTAAGATTAGTTGTTCTTTAGTTAACAAAAAAATTCCACGCTTATATCGTCCATCATCAAAGAAAAACTTATTTTAATACATCTTCAGGTTTCGCTGGTCGCGAAACCTGAAGATGCAGACACTTATCCAGTAAGGCAGCGTCGAAAGTTTTTGTTCATTTATCTATAATGGTGAGACGATTGTCCTTCGTTAAAAACATACGTGTAATATAGTAGCGAGTAGTTATTGGCAAATGGAGTTAGGTTCTTAAACATCATGGTAAACACTCACGTCGGAGATTTACAAAGCTGTAAACAAAGCTATATTTACAAAGCTATATTCCACCCAGTTTAACGGTGCACTACATAATACAATAGCTAGACAAAATTAATCTTCTCTGTTTGGTTGAGAATATTTGTATTATAGTTTTTACTCATTTTTGTGTTATAGCTTTGATAATTTTTACGTCACTCAAAATTGCCTCTCTGTCTAGCCACAGTCTTTGACATGCTAGACCGCCGGGGGTTGCGGGGGGCGCACCTGCGCGGCCGTGGAGCCGCTAGGGGCTCCCGTATTGATTATTCGGGGGCGTTTACTTTCGCCACTGTTTTAATGGGAGCTATGAAATGTTTTTATTGGCATCTTGGCGTTCCCGGCGCAAACTGCTTCAGAACAGACCAATCGATACCAGGTCTCCTCGATTACCAGCTCTACTATTCCCGACACATAAAAAGTTAATGCTTTAGAAGGGTATGGACACGACTTCTGCAGCTTTGCATTTGCACGAACAGCTTCTAAAAATGTTGTCTCTATTGTGATGTTAAACATTTGGATCTGTGTACCAAAAATGAAATATGTTTCAATTATCTTTTCTCAAATATCCCTATTTGAGAAAAGATAATTGAAACATATGGCCTATAAAGCCTATGATGGCTTTTTTCTGTAAACAAAGAAAGTAAAGGAACTGTTCTGCTGTATTTCATTTTTTACTCACTAATAAATAATTTAAAAAATAAAAATAGATATCTACACTACTAATATCTTTGAGCGTTATTCAAAAAAAACTTTTCTTGTAGTTTCTACATTTTATTTATTTATTTAAAATATTTTTGCACAATATCGTACATTTCGAAAAGGAAATTGTACAAATATTGCCTAATTTCTTCTTTAAACCAAAATACTTGACGTGCCATAAATCTAAAATAGAGTTTACAGGTTATTTAAATTCCTCGGAAGTTTGACGTATCTAGTTTATTTTTGTGAAAATACTTAATAATGACGTTGAAGGCAAAATTATTCCGCTTCTATACCCTTCTGAGAAAGAGGGCCTACAAGCGATGACTGACACAAAGTTGATTTCCATTCGGTAAAAGTTTGGCAGCTTTTTTTACAAAGTATCGACTATTTCCGCCCGTACATAAATTTTTGCCCGATATATTTTCTTCTTTTCTTACGATATTTGTAGAAATAAGGTGTAGACCTTACTTACTTTTTGTTATGATATTACAACGATACTTAAATAATCACTATATATTATTTCTCAAAGGTGTTTTTGTCGGTACGCCATAACTTCTATAATTCTTCATCAAATTTAATGATCCAAATATTATTACAAAGTCTACTTTTGCGGCTATTGACGAAAAAGGTAAGTAGAATCAGTTAATGTCTTCATGAAAACTTTTTGTTTAAAAATTTCTCGTTACATAATGATTCATTATTCATCTATTTACTTTCTTTTAATTTTTGTTATGATTCATTATTCATCTATTTACTTTCTTTTAATTTTTGTTTTGTATGTTTTTCAATAAGTTTTAGTTATACTTCAAAAAAAGATACCTTTATTTATAAATACTTATGTACACATTATTACATATCCTGCAATACTCACAATAGTCACTGCATTCCCAAAAAGAATTATAATTAAAATCAAAATGTGTTTGATAGCGCTCTACAGTAAAGAATGACGATATGAAACGAGAATTTTTTATGTTTTTATTTCTTATTTTACTATTTCATTATTTATAGTTTTATTTGTATTATTTTTATGATTTTTAACTGTACTAGTTGTGCTTATCTTTAAGTTAATGTTAGACTCTACTACCTATTGTTTCTTTTTTTTTTTTGTTAAGATATAGTGTAAACAATTGCTAATATGCATTTTAGAGATAAAAAAAAGAAGTACTAAATGAAAGAGAATAATTTTGTTTTAACGAGTTCACAATACTCGATGACTGCCATTAAAGTCCCTAAAAAGTTCCTAATCAAACACAAAATAATGATTGGACGCCAAATTGGATAAAGTGGAAACATCGAACGACGTTCAATCGGAGACTGCAGACGACAACGAAATTTTCCAGGTAACCCTAAAAATAGATTAATAGGAGCGGAGAGCTAGGCGGATGAAGCG